GCCAGGAGAGGGGCCCTGTTTGCTGGAGGGGGGGTTTCCCTCCATGCTGGCACTGTGGGGTAGGGAGGGGGGCTCTGTGAGGCTGCCTGTCCCCAGAGGGACTTCCCCCTGCTTCACCCCTATTGCTGCAGGATGTGGGGGAGCTCTATGGGCAGGAGGAGGCTCTGTTCATGCTGGGGGGAGGGAACTCTTTTCCCTCCTCCTCCTAGAGGGGCAGTGGGAGCACAGCTCAGCTGGGCAGGGGGTGGGTGTGCGGATGCCTTTTCTCCCTCATTGCCGGTTGCAAAGCTCTGTCCCTGCTTCCCCACAGCCCAGCTGGGGCTTCTCCTCTGAGAGTGGAGTGGGGGGATTGAGACAGGCAGCGCTGAGCTGGGGGTGAGGAGTGCAGCCCTGCGCAGTCTGTCTGGCTGTATCTACCCCCGCAGCTCCATGCTGCTTGCCCGCAGCTCCACTCTCACAGAGGGGAAGCCCTGGGCTGGACTCTGCGGGGAAGCAGGGATGGGGCTCCCTCCACTCCAGCAGAGTGCTTTGCAGCTGGCAATGGCAGAGAACAGGCTCCTGATGTCCTTGCCTGCTGCTGTTGCTGCCGGGCACTGGGGGGTTGCAGCCATGGGGGGAATGTGTGAGGGTCCCTACAACCCCACCCTGTCCAGCTGAGCCCCTCTGGAGGGAGGAGGGGGAGATGTTCCCCCCAGCATAGAACGGAGCCTCCTCCTGCCCCTGTCCTTGCTCTGGGGCTGGGCAGTATCGCATGGAGCCCCTGGAAGTGGCAGTGGGGGGGAGGGGAAGAGGAGGAAAAAACCAGATCTGGCACCTCACAGAGTTCCCCCTTCCCACCTCGGGAAGAGGAGGGGCAAGAGTCACCCCCAAGCATGGAACAGAGCCCTACCCCTCCTCCCCTCCCCTCCCCACCCTGGAGGTCAACCTACCCAGCACAGACCCCTGTTAAGGTGTGCCAAAGGCAGGGAGAAGGGTTAATTTCTCCCTCCTCTCTCCCATGCAGCCAGGGGCTGCCAGCTCTGGGGACCACCACTGCAGCTCCTTCCCCTGATCCCCAGCAGACAGGCTGGCCAGGGCCGCGGAGGGGAAGGAGGGAAGAATTAACCCCCTCTGTGCCCACTTTGCCTTAATGGAGCCATGCTGGCCAGTGTCTGCTAGCACTGGTCCCTGCTTAGCTAGAGAGCGGAGGGGAGGGACCAGCCCTGTGGCTGGAGCAGAGCTTCGCCCAGCCCAGGGAGCATGCTGGGATGCTGGGGGTCTCTGGTTTAATTTGCACCAGCAAGGAGTCTGGGCCAGACATGGCATAAACTGGTTTGAGCCAAATCAGTTAAGTCTGATACTACATTCAACCGGGCTTATCTCAAACCTGTTTCAGCCATTTTCCAACTGGTTTATGTGTGCTACACATCTGTTCTGTTACAGGTTGAAACCAGTTTCTGATCACTTAAACCGGTTTAGATGTAATGTCTGTCCCTAGAGGGAAAGGAGGAGCCTCCCCCCTTTCTCAGCCCCTTCTGTCTTCCTGTTATTTCCTCCAGGTTAAAATGCCTTCTGGGCACTTTCCCTCCCAGTCCCATCAGGGTGCTTTCTGATGGCAAATCCCCCTAGCTGGGTAGAAGTGGGGCTTTATCACTAGCCAGAATCAGCTTCTCTTTGACCTCAGACTGTTGGGGGCGGTTTTTTCCCCTTGCCTTTTTTCTCCAGATGGAAACATGCAGAATCCCCTCCCTAGGAAGGCCCTGAGACAATAATTTTTCCATCCCTCAGTTTTCCCACCTGATCAGCTAAGCAGACTGACCTGTGGATGCTGGCTGTAGTGAGAGGTCAAGGATTTGACAGATTATTACCTGTGCTTAGATATCCCTAGGGATGTGGTTGGAATGTCTTCCACTTTTCCACAGGCTAAAACCAGCTACTAGGATTGGCACCAGGAAGGAGTTGCTCCTCCAGGTCATGCTGGCACAGATGGCGCATCTATATGAGATGTTTACTTCACACTTGGCTAATTAACAGCTCAGTAAATGTTTTGGTGTCTACACATGCACCCCTCTTAGGGCGCATGAAACTAGTAAACTCCACAGTAAGGTAGTGTAAAATACAAGTACTACCCTGCTGCAGAGTTTTTTTCATGCACAGACACGCAAGTGTAGATGCTACCCTGGCTGGCTGAACCAGCTATCCCCACACTGAGAAACCCTGTGCCCCAGCCAGCCGGGGCAAGATCTACACGTGGGCTCCTGCATGCATGGGTGATGGGTGCCTCGAGTCAGCAACCGGGGGGAGCCCCCAGTGGCTGATTGTGCCCTGATCTCACTGATAGCCCCACTTCCCGGCTGGCACTTGCAGGAGGGGCACTGGTGCTCCCACCTGCCCCCCTGCCTGCTGGCTAAACGGAGTATGGCCTGACAGGGTGCATTGGTGGTCTCGGGGGGTGCACATGTACTGCCTACGCATCGCCACTGCCTGCACATGAAAAAAATCCAGGGCAATAAGTGTTGGAGTTTATTCTGCACATTGATCATATGTGTAGACACCCACTGTGGGGGGTTTTGCCTGCTAGAGCAATGAGGCCTGGTCCTTTTCCTGGGACCTTCTACACATCTGTCCATCTACTAATTTTTGTTCCAGTGTGTTACCCTGCTGTCTGTGATTGTATAGGAGGATGTTTGGGGTGTTGCGTGCTTTGTGACTTGTTATGTAGTAGGTTAGAGGGGATGATATTTAGGGGTCTTCAGGCAAATGGCCACCTGTGAACACAGGAGAGAAGGCTCACTGTCTTGGGTGGCCCATCCCAGTCCAATGGTCTACCCTCCTGTAGGTCATGAGTGGCTCTTTCTCATCCTCTGCTGGGTTTTCAAGAACCTTTCTGTCTGATGTTCAATACAGTATTCCTCCTGCCCCCTCTTCTTATGCTGCCTCAGCCAGTGAAAGAGTCCTCTGTAAAACAGCTCTTCATCTCCTGGATCCTTCTTTTGCTGCAACACCTACACAAAGTATCTCAGCGCTGGCTGCACGTAACAGCTTCACCAGCAGCATCTCGTGGCTTTTGGGGACATCTCCTAAGTGTGTGTCCATCTGCTGCTGCTTCGACCATCAGCACCGTAGGACTGGTCTGTTCTCTGAACGTCTAATGCCTAGCGCAGTGGCAGGCTGATCTGCAACTAGGGCTTGAGGGCGATCATTGCTAGCACTGGGGCAATGTACGGAGCCATGTAAGTACATGTTGAGTGCATCTTTGATTTATACACAGTTGTGCAGCTGGCTAATATTGCCTTTCTTCTTTCAAGTTAAGTGGATACAGTGGGGAGGCTTGCTAGCTGGGGGGGGGAGTTGGAAGCAAGAGAAGTCAGTGCCCAAGGTAATTGGTCACGTGGTGAAGGCTAAACCGAAATAACGGGGCCTTCCCTGGGACTGCATGTGAGAGGGAAGAAGCTGACCAACAGCCGGAGGCTGTTGTGAGGGTGACCCAAAGAGGGAGCAGAGAAACGGTGTTCTTTGAGGACATCAGGGCTTGCTGGGAGGCCAATGGGGGAATTACACACTAAGAAATTCCCAAATGTTTTTTGTTCTTTCTTTGTTCAGAGAGGGGTAGGCCTTTTAGCTCATTTATGATACCTAGCTAGGATGTGTACCAGTGGCTATAAATTACTTCTCTTCCCAGAGGAGGAAGCCTGGAAAGGCCCTAAATACTGGATCAGTCAACAAGGCTAAAAGAACATCTTAATGCACAGTGTCTGGCTCAGTTGGATAATAGATAAATGGCATGGCATTGTGAGGATACAATAGGCCTGGGATTGAGGCGGCCTGGGTTCCATTTCTGGCATTGCTCCAAGGGTGTCTGGGAACTGGGGGAAAAATCAGTACCTCTTTTTGTGCCTCAGTTTCCCCATGTGCATTATGGTCACGATCAGTGTTTCCTCTAAGATGCGTGGTGTGTGCGGACGTGCTCATGCTGCGGTGCCAGGTGCGCCTGCGCGGCCGCACACACCGCACAGTGTAGAGGGAATGCTGGTCACAGTGCTTAGAGCTGGGTAATTTTGGATCTGTTCTTTCCCAAGTGAACATTTATTTTCACTGAGGTTATGCAAATTAGAAACATGAAAACCTTTGAATCCCGGTTTTAAAAATAGAAGTAAAAATTCAATTTTCTGTTTTGAAATAATGTTTCTCAATTCACCTAAATCTAATAGCAACAAAAGGGAGTGTGAAAAAGGGTTTAACACACAAGGCATCATTTTTTTTTGTTTCTAGGTGAAATTTTTGCTTAAAAATTTGCTTAAGTTCATTTATAAAAAGATACTTAGGCTCATCTAAAAGTGAAACATTTTGATGGAGGGTTATTTTTGGTTGCAAAATGATGATTTGTTTTCCAAAATGTACTTAAAATGATTAAAAAGTGAGTTCTAAAGGAAAAAAAAATCCCTCAAAAGTAAACCTTTCAAATTTTCATTTCAAAACAATGTCTCAGTTTCAATTTTTGCTTAATTGGAATAGTCATTTGATAATGATTGTAAAAAAAGGGATGTTAAAAATACTTGTAATAAAGATTTTGTTTTGAATCCTTTTGGCCAACAAGGCAATCTGGGGTGGGTAGTGAGGGCTTTCTGGTTTTGTGGTGTTTTTGTTGCTGCTGTTTATTTGGTTTTTTGAGTTTTCTTTTGAGGGGGACTCTGGATTTTTAGGTTCTTTTTTGGGGGGGTTGTAAATGGGGGGGTGTAGATTTTTTGTCTGCCTTTTTGTCTTGTGGGTCTGTTTTCACTGAGAACATGAACAAGATGGCCTTTGGGTCAACCCAACCTGAATATTTTTTCCTTTTCTTGATTTCCCCCCCCCCCAAAAAAAATAAAAAAAAATAGAAACATGCAACATGTACAATACAGTAACATTTGGTAGCTTGCTCCAGGCTGCCCATCCTTTTGGGAAGTGTGGTGGGAGCTGGCACCCCCATCTTGGTGGTCCACTCACCAACCTGCTGGTGCCCAGCCCTGCTGTTTGCTCACGGGGCAGGGTAAATGAGCAGCCAGGTTCTGCTTTCCCTGACAGCCGGTTCCCCAGGACTACTTCCTCCCACAGTGGCCCTCCCCAGGTGTGTCCTGGTGCCAGCTGGCAGGTGCGGCAGCGTCGGTTGCCAGGTGGGAAAGACGGAATGAAAAATCCCACCCCAGAAAGGACAGTCCGGCTGGAATGAAGCATTAAATGGACAGTGCCTGGCTGGGGAGGATTTAACAGGTGAAAGAGCAAAAGGGAGCGGGAGCAGGAGAGGGAGAGGGGGAGACGGGCAGAGAGAAGGATATAAACCCGGATCCTGGGGGCAGGGAGGTGCACTGGGAGCCAGGATGCCTGGGTAAGATAGCTTCTGCTCTGGGAGGGAAGTGGGGTCTATGGCATATGGGCAGGGGGGGCCAGGAGCCAGGAGGCCTTGCTTCAGCTCTGGGAGGGAAGTGGGGTCCATAGTATTAGGGCAGAGGAGGCTGGGAACCAGTGGTTTATCCCCAGTTGCAGGAGGGGAGGTGGGTTAAAGCAGGGTGGCTGAGAGCCTGGAGGCTGCAGATCTATCCCGGCTTGGGGGAGGGAGTGGGGCTGGTGGCTTAGAGCAGCGGCTTGGGAGCCAGGACTCTTGCTTTCTGTTATGACTCATTCTCCCTGTTCTCCATGCTCCCTAGATATATTCAATGAGGGGGTTATAAAACCTTTCTCCCTGCCCTTTCCTCCCTGTGTGTGTCAAGGGAGGAAGCAATTATCTAAGTGGTGTGTGTTCCTAGCCAAGACCTTCTGCCTAGGTTAAGGTTGGCGGATTGAGGAGGAGGGGGGATGGTGACCTCCATTGAGAAGGCATGTGCAGGAAAGCAAGAAGGGGAGGGCTTCATGACATGGAGCGGATTGGAAGACAAGTGATAGGGTCCTCCCCCCTGTGAGAGGTGAGACCCTGATGGTCAGGTCTCACAGTCCATAACAGAATCCAGCTCCCAGCACCTCTCCTGCTTTAACCCACTTCCCACCAGAGCTGGAATAGAGCTCAGGAGTCTGGGCTGACGCCCCTCCCTCCTCCCCAACCATTATGCCATGCTTCCTGCTCTTCATAGAGCTATTAAAGCAAATTGCAATGAAGGAAGGAGCCAAAACCACATGCTAAGCTGTAACCTTATCGCAGCTTCCATGGTCACCTGCTGCATAGCAGGAGCAGCGGCCATGGCAGGAAAGAGAAGAGCGGGGCTTCCCTGTTTCTCCTGTCCTAGCTCAATTCTGACTTAGGATGTTCCTCCTCCTCTACTCCCCTAGGGTGATTGCCTCCTGAGTCTCCACAGCTGGGGGCAGAGGAATTGCTCATGTCCCTGTCTGGACCACTGATAATTTCGAGCAGTGAGGCAGGATCTTGACATGGGGAAACCGAGGCACACTATGGCAAAGTGACTTGCCTGAAGTCATCTGTGGTGAAGACGAAGAAATCAGACCCCTGACCCCTCAGACCTAAGCTGGCACCTGAACCTACAGCTGGTCCTTCCAGCTGCCACCGACGCTGACTGCGGTAGGGACTGCGGATGGGGCCACTCAGGACAGCTGGGCACTGGGGCCTGGGGTCTTTGCTTGCCTCTGAGGACTGATCTGGAGCTGGGATGCCCAAGCCCTGCACTGAGATAAGAGGCTGGGCCTGGAGGAGACATCTGCAACTGTGAAAGAGGAGAAGGGAACAGGACGGACAAACAGGCGGGTTTTGAGCCCCCCCGCAGGGATCATCCCTTTCTCTGCATCTGGGCAGCACTGGCATGACAGGAGCTCCACTTCAGCTGTTGTTTTAATGGGTGATGAGAGGAGACTGACTGGGTGAAAGACAGATGGGGAGAAGCAGGGACTGACTCATGAACAGAGGAGGATTGGAAAGGAAAGGAGGGTGGAGGGCAGGTGTGTGGCAAGACCCTAAAGACAAAAACCCTGAAGTTTAGACCCTACCCTGTATTTGTGTCTATTCAGGGATGACTGTGTGAGGGGTTTTGTGTATGTATCAGCCTGTGTGAGCGTTGTATATGTGTGACTCTGTATCTGTGTGAAGGGTATTTGTGGACTTGAGAGTGTCCGTCTTTGTGCCTAGGTGACATACTTGGATGTGTACCTCTGTAGGTCCGTTCAAGGACTCTGTGTGTATGTGTACATACGTGAGAGGAGTGGGGAGTCTATGTGCTTCTGTAGGATAGCTCTGCATGTGGGTGCTTGTGTATCTGAGTGAAGGAAACCTCTGTATATGTGTGACGGGATAGCAGTGTAGGTCTGTGTATTTGAGGTGAAGGGCTTAACCCTATGTGGAGGGGCATTTGTGGACTTGAGGGTCTTTCCATGTGCCTAAGCGAGGGCTTGTCTTTATTTCTGTGTGGGTGTAGGACACACTTGTATGCGGGTGTGCATGAGGGATTATCTTTGTCTATCCATGTGTGGAGTGGATAAAGCTGTTCATGTGGCATTTGTGTGTGTGTGGGATATTAAACGCACATCTGCACCCCTTCTGCTTCAGGGGGATCTTAGTGTCCATCTTTCTTAGTGTGAATGTTGGGGAGATCTATGTGTGTGTATCTAAGGGCCTGTCTGGGGATTAGATGCAGAAGTGTGTCTACATCTCAAGGGGGACTGGTGGGGTAGCTGTGTGTGTGTGTGTGTGTGTGTGTGCAAACGCGTACTTGCTTACCCCAGCCAAGGGGGTATACATCTCCCCTTATCACTGTCCCCCCACGCTGTGCACATGGCAGCCTCTCAGCTGCGCTGCCTGGAGGACGATGGGCCTATGACCCCCATCACCGAGTCCAGCCCCGAGTTCTTCTACTCGGAGGGGCAGCGCCTGGCAGTGGAGGCCCTTCTGGGTGAAGGGATTGCTGCCTACACCCAGCGCCTGGAACGGGACAAGCTACGTCCCTTCCTCTCTGAAGTGGAGCTGCATAGCCTCCTGGAGGTGGCACAGGACAAAAATGAGCCTGCTGGTGCCTGGGATGGAGATGGTGCTGATGATGCCAGCCTCAGCTACTGGCCCGAGTGCTCTGAGGAACCCACCCCTAACCTCGATCTGGGATGGCCTCAGGACAGTGCCTGGAAGGGCATCACTCAGGCTGAGATCTACACCCACCCGCCGGCTGAGCAGGCCCCCAAAGTCAAGGAGCTGGTGCGCAGGAGACTTCAGCAGGCTACCAAGGTACCGAGGGCCTGGGCACCTGGGTTCTGTCTCAGCTTGGGGAGGGGAGTGGGGCCTAGTGGATTAAAGCAGGGGGCTGGGAGCCAGGATGTTGCAGCTCCATCCCATCTCTGGGAGGTGGTAAAGTGTAGCAGGATAGAGCCATAGCTGAGGGGTTCAATGCTCCTTCTCTGGGGCTGGTGGCCCCTAAAAGGGAAAGGCTCAGTTCCTGATCCTGGAGTGGGGAGGCAGTGCCCCATGAAGATGTCCTGATTTCTCTCTCTGGTACTTCCCAGGTGGTTGCCATAGTGATGGATATCTTTACTGACCCTGACATCCTCTCGGACCTGCATGATGCAGCGATGAGCCGCCGAGTCCCTGTTTACCTCATCCTCTGTCAGCAGCACCTCGCTGCCTTCCTCAGCATGGCAGAGAAAGCCTGCCTCAACATTCGCTACATGGAGGTATGGGCACCCCCAGGCCCCTGACCCATGGTAATAATCATACAGTCATTGGCTATGTGTAGGGGGTGAACGCGGGTGCATGTGCACCCCTGAGCATGGTGGTGCACCCCCTGCGAAAAGGCAATGTTGACACTGCCGGTGTCACCTGCAGGTGGTCGCTGCTCCCCCCCCCCTTTGTTGCTGACACTGCCAGCGGCATCCACGGTGATTGGCACTTGCCACCCCCTCCTGCCCCGCCACCAACAGTGCTGTGGCTGCCTGCGGGAGCTCCCTGCTTACCGCTGCTGTTGTCTGCAGGAGCTTGCCGTGCCCCTCCAGCCTCCGGGGGCATGTGGTGTTCATGCACACAACCCATCTACCCCACAGCATAGCCCTCCTTCCCACTCAGTGCCCTCTGCCGCATCACCCATGGCACTGTGCCTTCCCCCTGCCACCAAGCTCCTATGGCCTCTGCTTCAAATATGCTGTGCCCTGAATGCCCTCCACCCTGCCATCTACAACACAACGCACACCACTGAGCCCTTGCAGCACAGCACTCCCTATTGGCCCCTCTTGTGAGCTGTGGTCTGCACTGTGGTTGGTGCATCCATCCCAAACTCAACTGAGAGTTTTCTCATAGGTAAGCTGGATACTACACAGAAGACCAGGCTGTAGTGAGTGCAAAGTCAGGCTGGGTCTGAACTGGCACCTTCTAGAGGAGAAAGGTCCCTCTTTCATCCCTCCCTCTTGAGCCAAGCAGAGTCCTACCCTGGGCTGGATTGGGGCCAGTGCCCCAGAGGGGAGGACTAGAGGGCAGAGGGGTGGTGAGACTGGCTTGTGGTTGGGGTTTGGGTTGTTAGGGTGTCCCTACATCTGCTTGGGGGGTTGGGGAGGGGGGTGGGACCCTCTGAGCGTGGCCTTGTTTCCGATAACTGATCTTTTCACCCTGTTTGCAGAACCTCCGAGTCCGGGTCCTAGGAGGCTGTACCTTCCAGAGCCACCAGGGCAAGCAAGCAACAGGGGCCTTGAAGGAGAAATTTATCCTGATCGATGGGAATGTGGTGATCACTGGAAGCTACAGGTAGGGAAGATTCACACCTGGCATGGGTACAATGGGGCTTCTAATATTGTTTCATCCCAGAGATGGATGCATCTTAGTGCAGGGGGTAGGGTGTGCGTGTTTGTGTGTGTGTGGTGGTGGTGTTCCTGTACAACCAATTTTTTTTTTTTTTGACATGCTCCACCCCTGAGGTGGCCTAGGTAAGGGATCCTTTTATTTCAAGACTCTCTAGTGCAAGGTGATATCTTCTCCACGTCCCATCCATGCCTTGATCACTGCAATTTGGTGCTAATGGAGGCAGGATTGTGCTATAGGGGAAGACCTGTTTGGCTAAGCACTGGGCTGAGAACAAACCCTGTTGGTTCATATGGAGAGGGGGCTCCAAGGTGGGAAGGGTTGGAGTAGGGTTGAAGCAGAGGTGGAGTAAGGACTGTAGCATACTTGGGGGGCCTGGAGAGGGACATGGGTTGCAGGCTCTGTGCCTGCTGTGGCGTTTTCCTTTCACTCGGAGGACTGACATTCCTG